AGGACAAGGCCGCTGCTGTTATTGCTGATTACCGTCAGATGAAGCGAACTGGTTCCCTCGCGGTGCATCTGCTCAAGTACTTCAAGCGGGACCTGCTGATTCAATGCGCCCTCGCGGTCCTCGCTGGCCTTTTTACGTTTGCGCCAACCCTTCTTTTGAAGGTGATTCTCGAGTTTGTTGAAGACTATAATGCAGGATTGAAGAACCAAACCGAGACAAACCTACCGATCAATGTCATCTGGCTTTATGTCATTGGCCTTCCTGTAGTCGATTTAATACGTTCATACGCCGATAACCAAGCTCTCTGGATTGGTCGAAAGATCTGCATCCGTGTCCGAGCTCTTATCATCGGCGACATCTATGCCAAAGCGCTTCGTCGTAAGGCTTCCACAGGCAAGGACAAGGTGCTGCTTGAAGATAAAGCTAGCCCCAAGGAAGACGAGGCACAAAATGGTTTTGTTGGAAAGATTAAGCGAGCTCTGAACATGAAGAAGGACGATAAGAAAGCTACTCCCAACGATGCCGAATCTGCCAACGAGAGCATCAAGGACGACAAGAAAGACGATTCTGGCGATGAGCAGGCCAATCTGGGTACCATCATCAACCTCATGTCTATCGACAGTTTCAAGATTTCCGAAGTCACTGCGTATCTGCACTTTCTGTGTGCTTCCGCTCCTACACAGCTGGTCATTGCCGTTGTACTGCTCTGGCAGGTCATGGGTCTTAGTGCTATCCCTGGCATCATCGTCATGGTCCTTCTCCTGCCTGTCAACTACGGCCTTGCTCGGGGTTTCACCATCACTTCGAAGAGAATTCTTGCAGCCACCGACAAGCGTACTAATGTCACCAACGAGGTCTTGCAAAACATTCGCATCATCAAGTACTTTGCCTGGGAACAGCGCTTTGGCCGTATCATTGACGAGAAGCGTCAGCTGGAACTCAAGGCTTTGCGTTCAAGGTTCATGGTCTGGGCACTGGCTGTAGCTATTTGGAACTCCGTGCCCGTCCTCATCACCTTCTTCTCGTTCCTTGTTTACACGATCTTCGAGCAAAAGCCCCTGAAGCCATCCATCGCCTTTACAGCCATGTCACTCTTCATGCTTCTCCGTGTCCCGCTGGACCAATTTGGTGACATGTTCGCCCACGTCCAGGAAACCAAGGTTTCTATCGATCGTGTGGAGGATTTCCTTCAGGAGGAGGAGACCGACAAGTACATTCAGCTTGGCTTGGATAATGTGGATGACGAGGGTGTCAGGCGAATTGGCTTCAACAATGCTACTCTTACGTGGGGTAGCAAAGACACTGTTGCTGAGGATAGTGCCCGTGCTTTCCGACTCATGGACCTAGACATTGATTTCAAGATCGGCAAACTGAACATCATCGCGGGTCCCACAGGTTCTGGAAAGACATCTATGCTGATGGGTCTTCTTGGTGAAATGTCACTGCTAGAAGGAGGCGTCTACTGTCCCGGTGGCCGCAGCCGAGAAGATGTTCATCCTGATCCTGAGACTGGTCTCGCCAACACGATCGCCTACGTCGCACAATCCGCTTGGTTGGTTAACGCAAATGTCCGCGAAAACATTCTGTTCTCTGCGCCATTTGACGAGCAACGGTACCGCAATGTCATTGTGGCTTGTGCACTAGAACGCGATCTGCAGATTCTCGACCACGGCGACGAAACACTGGTCGGAGAGAAGGGTATCACGCTTTCTGGTGGACAGAAGCAGCGTATTTCTCTTGCTCGTGCCCTCTACTCCAACTCTGCCCATCTGCTACTTGACGACTGTCTCAGTGCTGTTGACTCACACACCGCGCAATGGATCTTTAGCAACTGCATTCGTGGACCTCTCATGAGAAACCGTACTTGTATTCTCGTTACACACAACACGACCCTTTGTATTCCCTCTTCGGATTACGTTGTTCTGCTTGAGAATGGCCGAGTTGACATTCAAGGTCCTTCAGCTGAGGTTATTGCTTCTGGCAAGCTTGGTGAGGAGATTCAAAAGTCTCACCCCGGCTCAGCCATTCCCTCGCGCATTCCTTCTCGTGTTCCCTCAAGTGTCGGCGATGATGAAACCACTGTTAATGGCCAAGGCGATGCTCTCGATGGTGTTGATAGCTCTAAGAAGGACGCACAGAACAAACCCAAGAAGGATGCCATGGAAGAAACCAAGGCCACTGGGTCAGTCAAGTGGCCCGTTCTCAAGCTGTACCTCCAGTCCATGGGCCCCTGGTGGTTCTGGATTGTTGCCCTCTTCGTCTTTATTTCTCAGCAGGTTTCTGGATTGGCCACTAACCTCTGGGTCCGTGTATGGGCGAACCAATACGTCAATGGTACACCAGAGTCAAAGGTCGCGCCGGCAATGTATTCTTCTACGCAATTTAACGCTGTCGGCTTTGCTAACGTTGTCCGACTCGGCTCTGCGGAAGACCTGAAGCCTCTCGATGGGTCCTTTTCTGCACAAGGCCACCCGCATGGGGTCAATGCTATGTACTACTTGTCCGTTCTCGCCGCGATTGGAATTGCTGGTGCCATGGCAGCTCTCTTTAGAGATCTCTGGATCTTCCTGGGTTCGTTGACGGCATCAAAGGGCATTCACGATCGTTTGATAGCATCTGTGACGCGAGCCAAGTTCAAGTTCTTTGATGTCACCCCGCTGGGCCAATTGATGAACCGATTCAGCAAAGATCTGGAGGCGGTTGATCAAGAAATTGCACCTGTGGCAATTGGTGTCATCAGCTGTGGCATTTCTCTAATGATGACGGTTGGTTTGATTGCATACATCACACCCAAGTTCTTGTATGCCGCTTTTGGTATTGCTATTCTATTCTACCTCATCGCCGCTTTCTACCTCCGAGCTTCTCGCGATCTGAAGCGTCTTGAGGCAGTTCAGCGCAGTCCTCTGTTCCAGCAATTTGGAGAGACCTTGAGTGGCATGACAACCATTCGAGCGTATGGTGATGAGCGACGATTCATCCGGGACAATTTGGAAAAGATCAACACTCAGAGTCGACCCTTCATTTACCTATGGGCATGCAATAGATGGCTGGCCTTTAGGGCTGATCTTGTGGGAGACTTGGTGGCCTTCTTTGCCGGCATGTTCCTTATCCTTAACCTTGGTAAGACGGATGCCGGAGCAGCGGGTATTTCCCTGAGCTACGCATTGAGCTTCACCGAGAGTGTGCTGTGGCTTGTACGTCTTTATGCCATCAACGAGCAAAACATGAACTCTATGGAGCGTATCAAGGAGTATCTCGACGTTGAGCAAGAGGCGGAGGCTGTTATTGAGGACAGCCGACCTCCAGCAGACTGGCCTCGTAAGGGGTCGGTCGAGTTTGTGGACTACACCACAAGTTACCGAAAGGAGCTCAACCCTGTCTTGCAGAACATTACGCTCAAGATTGAGCCGCAAGAAAAGGTTGGTATCGTTGGAAGAACGGGTGCAGGCAAGAGTTCTCTGGCCCTGGCGATTTTCCGAGCGCTAGAGGCAGACAAGGGCAAGATTCTCATCGACGGACTTGAGATTGGCAGCATTGGTCTGCAGGATCTTCGAGAGAACATCACCATTGTGCCTCAAGATCCTACACTATTCCACGGCACGATTCGAAGCAACTTGGATCCATTCGATCAATACACGGATGATCAGATCTTTGCTGCGCTCCGACGAGTACAGCTCATTGGTCCCGATGAGCCTCTAACATCACCACCTACGCCGACACAAACACCTGGCTCACCAAACTCACCAACTGCCAAGACCAACAAGAACCTCTTCTTGAATCTTCAATCGCCAGTCGCGGCATCAGGCTCAAATCTGTCCCAAGGACAGCGCCAGCTTCTGTGTCTTGCTCGAGCCATGCTCAAGTCCCCTACAGTATTAGTCATGGACGAAGCCACAGCATCCATCGACTACGCCACCGACTCAAAGATCCAAGAAACAATCCGCGAGCTCACAGGCACCGTCATCACAATCGCCCATCGGCTAGCAACCATTGTAGACTACGACAAGGTGCTGGTTCTCGACAAGGGCGAGGTGGTGGAGTATGCTCACCCGTGGGAACTCATCAATAACAAGGATGGTACGTTCCGCAGTATGTGCGAGATGAGTGGTGAGCTGGATGTTCTCCTCAAGGCGGCGAAGAAGAAGTGGGATTCTGGACGCTTGGTGGATGTTGATCCATAGGAGGAGAAAGAGAAGCTGCCGCGTATAGAAGAGGAGGATTAAAAGTTGGGGGGGAACGGGTTCCGGGATTGAGGACTTGTATATTTGTGGTATGAGCCGTGGACTTGAATAAAAGTATAGAAGGCGTATGCCTATAATTATGCGTTTGAGCATTGATTGATGCTGTGATGTCTAAAAATATTGTGGCGCGAGTCTAAGCGCATCATAGTAGTCGTAATGTCTAGTGTCATCAAATGAAGCCATCGTCAATGCCAAAGTGGGTCCGGCAAGTGGATGAGATCTTCTCCGCAATTCGGCGTCGAGATTGCATGAACTGATACTTGAATAGTTTAATACGACGTCCATTATTAACTTACACACAGTATGAGTATATTTGTCTATTCATATAAATGTTTCAATAACTGCATTACCCCTGCTCACCCAATACAGGGCATGCTTGACCTCCATCTCAGGCAGCACCACAAGGGCAGGGTACGTATCTTTCCTTCGTCACTGGGTTACAGAAACGATTCGTTGGCCTTGACGACTTGACAACATAGCATCAACTCTAGCTCTTGTCTTATAAAATAGTTTCATTCGCTTGCTCGTATTTTCCCCCTCTTGTCTACTTATTTCTCTTCCCCCCTCATTTTTTCTACCGCGGACTATTCACAGCCAATACTTACGTGTACCGCTGTGGCGAGGTCGAATTGGGCACGTGCTCATCACTCCATCAGGATTCTAGAACTTGATCAGCATCCCCGACTTTTTTATATATCGTTCTTCATCAACCCCGTCAAGGGCGATTAATTCTTTCGCTGCTGGGGATAATCGCCGAGCATGGCATCGTCGCAGACTCCTCCGCATTTGGACTCGGAGAGCGTGACGAGTGGGCAGACGTCTATCTCGCAAATGCCGATGCATCATTACCCTGAGGACCAGCGCCAACAGCAGAATGCAACGCCTTATACGGACCGCTCAGAGGATGATCCGCCTCCGAGTTACACCGTAGTCGACAACGAGGGACCCCACGCGAATCCATTTGACCTGTTGCCCAGCAGCTCATCCTCCCTTGGTCTGCATCCCTTCAAGGGGACGTCCAACGACAAAGTAGTCTACTATCTCGACAAGCGTCTTGATACAGACCCTGAATTCCTCGAGCAGCACATCTCAGAGCTCGCCAAGGAACCACCAAGACCGTACGTCCGCATCCAGGGTCTAGACCGCAAGTCCGGCAAGGGTGTCGACTTTGACATCCACATTGAACTCACGCCCCTGCTGTATCAAGAGATGGCAACCCGTCGTTCGTGGAGACGCATCCGCGCCGTGAACAATTTCGACAAGGTGCGCCGCGGGACGGCGAGCATGACGCGCGCGCCGGGGTTCGGGGGCAGCGGACCGCCTGAGGAGGGCACGCCGGGTGTTGCGCAGTGGTGCTATAGGTACTGTGCGAGCAGAGCCGGTCTAAAGGTGTTTGTTCTAGAGCGGCGCTTGACGGGCTGGGACTTCGCCCTCGTGGGGTCTAGGCTGGAGAGTTTGGTGCGGGGGACGGGGTATCGTGGGGAAGTCAACATAACGTTTCCTACGACGAATGCACGGGTTGAGATATACAACCGCTGCCTAACCAATCGATGGCGCCTCACACGATGGATTGTTCTTTTGTTTTATATCTCGCTTCTGTGGATATTCACTTGGCCGTGGGTGTCGCTGCGAACGAGGTGGTACGAGACGGTATTCGTGGAGTGGTCGCTAAGTCGGCCTGACAGACAGGGAACGCTCCGATATGCATGTATGAGTGAAGATCAGTGGTTCAGACTGTGGCGACGACCTATTGAGCAGGCGATCCAGACGAGGCGACGAGGGCGGCTGAGCCGTGATGATATAGTGGATGCGTGCGTGGCGCCCGGGGCTGAAGACTCCGCCAGGGGTATGAGAGCGGGGTTGGAGGTTCTGCAACGCACGTTTGGATGGGGAGGAGATGGGGAGGGGAGTGGAAGGCATTCGCCACGTATTTGATGGTGTTTTGGTTGGTGTTGGGGCATTAGATTGAGCTCGCTCCTGGGTTTGCATGGAAGCGTTGGCGTACAAGATTGCATTGCCTTGCGTTGGTTTTTATTTATGATTCATGATAGTTATTCCCAACTCAAAATGTTATTCGTTTGTGTTTCAAGCTATCTTGTTGAGATTATTGTGGTGTTGATGTGCACCTCTCACATTGTGAACTGGACCACTACAGAGACGACTTCATCAGATTTAAAATAACACAGATGATAGCGAAGGGCTCAAAGGTCTCGTAACTCAAGAACTAAATACCCAAGAGCAAGATTGATTCGCTCAGCTGACAATTAGATATGTTACTGACGAATATAATCTGAGCAATGGTCTAGGGTAGCTCTTTTCTTATCTTATCAGCCCCTCCACCCCACCAATGTCGCTCTCTCATCATCTACACATCCCTTACCAATCTCATTCATCAAGTTCAAGACTTGTACTGCAGTCACACTCTTTTTGCATCCATCGCATTTCATTTCGGATTCAAGATACAGACTTGAATATACAGCCGCCGCGATGGCTGAAGCCGAGATGAGTTCCAGCTCAAGAAGAATACTGGCTGTCGCCCTTGAGAATGAGACAGCAGTTCTGTCAAAGTTGGTCAAAGGTGAGTTCACTTTATCCAGATATGACAGTGGCCATCTACGAAATACACCCTGGCATCATTCACCACAACATTCACTGACAAGTCTCAGACCTCACTGGATCAGCCCCAGAATCACCAGATCCCTCCCTCGGCATCGCTGGCACAACTCATAGCCTGGCCCTCAAAACACCATACTATTCCACCACAGTCCCCATCTGGCTTGACCTAATCGCCTCACCTTCTGAATGGTCAGAGTCATTTCTCTCTCCCGAAGCCGCCGAAGTGCTCGCCGTGTTAGGAGGTGTAGTAGTAGTCTTCACCGCAGGTCCGATTTCATCGTCCAAGGATCACCCCGCAAAGGAACTAGTAGAGCACATCGGTAAAGTCCTGAAGAAGGGACTGGGAGGATGGGAGTGGGATGGCGTAGGACTAGCTATCGGCGTGGGAGGAGATGGAAACGAGGAGGAATGGGATGAGATCTGCGCAGAGGCTGGACTGGAGTTTGTGTCTCTTAGTGGAAAAGGCGATACTGGTCGTAACGAATTTGGCGGTATGTTGAATCTGTCGCTCACAGAAAGGTACTAACAAGGACAAGAAAAAACAGGAGTTGCACGAGTAAAAGAAGCCCTCGAAGCAAACGACTGGTCTCAACTCGAAGCACCACTATCAGATTCCGAGTTTGGTGACTTTGAAACGAGCTCAGCCAAGGGAGATGAGGACGACAAAGAATTAGATCCCCAAAAGATGGGCTTTGGCTTCGACAAATCAGACTTTGAAGGTCTACGACGCGCCATATGGGAGTCCAGCCAGGATGTTGAGGTACCCTCAGAATCCAGCAAGGCGGAGACTAGCAAGGAGGGTGCTTCTGGTGGAATTGGGTTAGAGGACCTGGATGAGGACGAGATCGCCAAGATTGAGAAGATGATGAGAAAACTCCAAGCTGTGAGGGAAGCCGGCGAGGGGATGGGAGAGGAACAGAGGAAGAGAATGGCAGCCAGGGCTGTGGAGGAGGTGATGAGAGATCTCTGAACTGGATAAGCATCAACCGACCTCCAAGACGAAGTGATTCCTGAAAAATGTTTTTCGCATCATTTGCGGATCACGATGGCCTCTGAACCTCCCATATCAGTTAATGATGCCCATACGCCACGCCGACTGCCAGTCCAAAGACCTGCCAAGCTGACTCACGAGTGGCACGATAGCTAACCTTGATCTATATGCCGAGTCCTCTGCGGCCGTCAAGGCATCGACATAGCACGGCTCGCTTACCGTGCAGTTGCACCATGGTCACATCGTCCAACTCAGATCGTGATCCACGGACCGGGTCTTACGTAGTACATATCCAATGCTGGCGAGACCCTTGGCTGGTATGTATGAGACTCAAGTCTCATGGCATCGACAAGCGCCATGATATCGGTAACCCAAAGTTCAGACACGGTCCATTCAATGGTCTGTCAAACTTACTGACAGCGGTAACACTGAGTTAGAGAGTCAAAGCATGTTGCAGTTTCAATCCCACATGTCTTTCCAGCACAGACGCGTCTCCCAATTTAGACAATATGCAACGCATCGTGGCATCAGGTAACCCGCTCAATCTTGTGCCGTTATGGTAAGGTTTTTGTAGATCGGCATGGATCGTGACATCCAGATCACCGGACTCAACATCGCGGTGACATGCTCAATAGCTCCGTAGATAGCTTGGTGGTCTTGGGCGGTGTCGTAGCTTATGCAAGGGAGAGGTTCTGAGATTCTTCCAAAAGTCGCGGGCGTCGACTAATATGTCATAGCTTGTTGTTAGTAAATAAACTTGTCCCCTATCTTAAATCGACCGCTTGAATTGACGTGACTCGACTCATGGAGTTGACGATCGACTAAACGAGGTCAAAGTCCAATTGAGGCCGGAAAGAAGCGACCCCGGGTCCAAGGGTCCACCGGTGATGTTGGTTAAGCCAGATTGAGACTGCGGTTGAGTCAATAGTGAATCCCCTGAGATGCCATGATAGACGACGTCAAAGATCTCAGACGCCCCATTTTGTTAGTCTGGTCCGTCCCACAACCCTTGTTTGGCGCATGTTGACCAAACAGGGGAGCGACTCACGTTTCAGCGCGTCTTGCTAGGAAGAAACGTAAACGTGCTTAGCCGGGGCTTCAGCTGTCCTTCAAAGCGGTGCAGCTGAAGGGCATGATGCTGAGAGCCCCATACCGGTTAGCTAGCATGAGCCGCCAAGCTTGGCATGTTACCAACAGCGTCTGAGAATTCGTATCATTGTCATGCCATGTCTGGACAAGTTATTCTTAGGATCTAGGGATGCTCTGAAGGGAGATATCTCCTGAGTGGTGCATGCCAACTCTGCAACAGACGTTGAGGATTGAAATCAAGTGGTCAGCAAACGCGCTCGACGCGCTGCCATCCCCGCCATGGATGGATATGCATATCGTCTCCAGTATGAACTTTGCCGCCATTGGTAGGAATCGTGACTCGTCATGCAGGTTGTCGGTTGGACTTTTCGGATTTGGGCAGAGGATTGATAAGTCAGTTTGACTGCGGCCATGGGTTGGCCAAACTCGATCGACAGTAGGGTTCGTCGAACGGTGCTCATTCTTGTCTGTGCTTTCTGACCTCAGAAGCTGGGAGACGAGAGTAAAAGTCTCTGGTGATTAGGTGAGACGAACAAATATAGCAATGGTTCTTTCGTGGTGCAATTGCTTCAATTGCTCATCGAGAATCCTCAAGCTACTTCGTGGTGTTGTTGTCGAGCGCGAATCCACCAACCACAAGCTCTCATGATATTCTGGCATTTATGCAAGCACAATTCAGTGGGCACCGACTGCGAGTCTCATGGCGGCATGCTCTCAGCTTTAGGAACACAACTGCCTTGCCCAGAGCTCAAAGAAAAACAGCGAGTTTAGGGCGATTCACCCCCTAGACTTGATGGGTGAGGTAAGACTCCAACACTGGTGGACCCAATGGCATGTGGCCGCCTGGCGGAGACATGGCCTAACGCTGGTTGGCTCTGTCATGCTGATCCTGCAAGGTACCATGCCCCAGATGCACCTCCAGGGGTCTAAGTCAGGGGTAACGGTGCCAAAACCGGTAAGTACCAAGCTGAGGAGGAAAACAATTCGACATGCATCTTGTGTTTTCTGATCTATCATGTCGGATCTTTTATGTCACTCCGGACGCGCCCGGGAAAAGACTCGGATCCGGCAAAAGAAAAGAATCGCGGAATCATTTTCCTGTCCATCAGAGGGTGTTGTGTGTGTCCATGCTTCATGCTTACTGCACTCCGTCCTCCGTAGTAAGGGCGAGACTTTTCGTATTACAGCCACAACAGTTGAGGTTTTGTTATAGTTGCAATGACCAGAGCCAGATGGCGGTAGCCGTAGGACCGTTCATCGCTGAAGCCGGTAGTCTCTGAATAGTTCATTCTGTTTCCCTTCAATACCCTATTCATTATTAGTCGTTAGTCAAGTCGGAATGATCTGGCAGACGCTAAAGTTGCCAAGACGCGACCGACCTTTGGCTCCAACGTCAGGCTGATTTTGCTTGAACAAGCGTCGATCGCAGCGTTTCGCACAAGAGAACCTAGAGAACCACGAGAAAAGGGGCCAGAGAAAACATCACAACACAGTAAGCCGTGTTGTGGCCCACCAGATGACGATGGATTGAGCTACTGCAGGAACAGGGTCTCAGCATACACACCTTCACAAGAGATCCCGAACATGCAAGTCTTTCACGCTGACCAGACATGCCGTGGCGTGGTGGCATTGCTGTGGTATGATCCTTCGCTGGATCCTTTGATGCAGGTACGAGTACAATTCAGGAAATCCGTGTCATGCTTGCTACCGACGATATCGGAGGCTTATATCTGAAACGAAAGACAGAGT